TACAAAACATAGGATCAACAGATTCTTCGTATCCGGCAGAGAAGAATATGTCTGAACCAAAGGCAAAGTTATCAGTATTCCACAATAAAAGCAAGATCTCTTTTACTTAGGGAAAATATTGTAGTAAAAGTTATGTGAAAATTGTATATATATTTTTTACAATGTTTCCTGTACTAAACTACCTGAAATTGTAGCATAAATTACCACGGAAATAGCAAATCTGATGATTTAGAAAAAATTCAAATAATTACAATAATTTTGCAGGAAAACGTCAAATGTGTATAACATTTTTCCAAATATACAGTAATTTCGGTTATGACTCTATGGTCCAAGATTACAAAAATTTGATTGTAATTTTTGCTACAATACTCGAGAAAACGCCCTGACCGTCTAACGCGATCATTCTTCGCGAAATTTCCACATTACTTTCCCTCGACTTTCTCGAGAGTCATTCGGATCCAGGAGCTAGGACTTCAACAGCGTCCGGAGGAGGTCCGCGGAGAAAAGATAAAAAAGGAGTAACGCGGACGGGACTCTTTCGTAAACGATCTGGCCGCGTGAGCTCGAAAGGGCTCGATGCTTCCGTCATGTTAAAGGGCCGGTTCGAGCGGTGGTTGGAGCTGGAACGAGATAGAACGGGCGAGAGCGATCGATCGGCCGTGGAAGGAGAAGCGACGAGCGCGACCGCCGTCGCCGTCGCCGTCGCCAGGAGCCGCTGAGAAAGCAGGAGAGAAAGAGAGAGAGAGAGAGAAAGAGCTAGACGGGGGCCCACATCTCTCCTCTCTCGCTCTCGAAGCCCGAGAGATATCAGATCGCTCGTATAAAACTATCGTATCGTTTAAATACGCACTGAAAGGTGAGGCGATGCATCAGAAGATACGCGGGCGGTGGCAGGCAGCAGCCTCCTCTCCTCTTTCCTCTCTCTCCCCCTCACCACCCTCCCACCAAGCCTGTGTCCTCCTCCCGTTCCGTCCGCGCTGTCGATCCGCGCTGAAGATACCCGCCTGGAATCCATGGGAACCACGGAGAACCAGGCTTAACGCGTATAACCCCTTCCCAACGTCGCGGTGCAGCAGGTCCTCCACCCTGGAGGACCGCTTACGCCTCACCTCCGTGGCTCTCCCTCCCGCTGCCTGCTCCGCTCCGCCGCTTCTACCCTCGACACACGTGTGTACGCATTTTCTTTCTTTTCCCTACATCTTCCTCGTGTTTCTGTCTTTCTTTACGTTCGGCAATATGGATCAACGGTGGTGCATCAGTTTATGTCTGAATGCAGGGTTCTCAAGACGGTCGTTTCGTTAGAATCGTTAGGATCAACGTTTGGCTTAGCTGACTCGGTGTATCGAATGTTAACTCATTGGTAACCCGTCGATTTCCGCTGGAAATCGAGAGTTTCCGTTGCAAGTCTTGCGTGCATCTTCATGGAGATGAAGGAAACGCCAACTGAGTCGCATGAGACAGCATGAAAAGGGCAGGAAAATGGTAGAATGGCGAAGGAGAGAGGATCAAAATAGTGTGACTTGCGCCGCCAGTGGTTGCAGCGCAACGGTTGATATTATCGGTCGCATCGCGCTGTTTCTATCGAGATAATTGACAGAAGACAGCGCATCGAGTTTCTGAAAAGGACGAGATGCGATCACGCGCCGCGGCACCGATTCCGCATCGCCGATGCATCGCTCCGCTCGATATTCACGCCGCCTGCCGATCGTTCTTTTCCCCTTTTTGCTGGAATCCGTAATTGGGCGGACATTCTACGTTATGAGTTAATTCCGGCGTGTTGTCGGCGTCGGGCCAGAGATCATATCGGCGTGCACGATTCGAGATCTGCGAGAGACGATCTGATTTTTCGACGGATGTGCCTCTCGCAACGAGGCTACGGTGCCCCGTTAGTCTAACAAGGGAACGCGTAGTGAACTTCACTCGCATTTAAATTCAGCACCGTGCATCGAGTACTTATTCCGCAAGTCCTACAAAAATGCATGTAATGGTACAAGTGAAGCATTTCATTGTTTTGCAATTAAAATAATGTAATTAAGGAAGAAAATGCATTTTTTAACTCGGAATAATTCCTTTACGTTCCCAGAACTGAAACAGTGTCATTCAAAATTTATTATGAAATTCTAAAAACCGTGACGGGGTTTCCCGGATTTTAAATCTATACGAGACTTATATAAAAATTTTTAAACCGATTTATATAAAATCTGAAAGGCGTCAACGGCGGTGTATTGCGAGTTCTACAAGAAATTGTAGAACTTTTAGATAGCGGCGTTATACAGGATATCTAAGCGTCTCATATTTCGTGTGCTTGTAAATTAGGTTAAGTTAAACACAAAATTCCTCAACCATTTTGCAAGCGATCACGTAACATTTTATTAAAAAAGATAAGAAGACGAACAGACAATCGCTCGCGATCACAAATTGGTAGAGGAATTTTATGTTTAGTTTGACCTAGTTTAGTTTGACCTATGTTTAGTTTTGTTTAGTCTACGTGTACATGAGATGTGAGACTAGCGTCAGACATCTTCTATATGCGACAGTCGTGAAGCGCAAAGAAGCAATAATTCACATGGAATAATTGAAAATAGCGATTTATATGAAAAAGCCAAAGAAACGTGAAACGCGAAAGTACAGAATGCGGAAATGTGAAAAAGTAGCTGAACGCGCGTTGCCTCTGCAAGAACCGGATGCGCATAGAGCCTAGAGACAATGGGCAACGAGCGGGCACGATCTTCCGCTTTGAAAAGAGGGTGAAACCGCGCGTCGCGCACATTGTCCGCTTAATGATTGAGTGGAGACGTGGCAGGTGAAACCGAATACAGACGAGGAGCCGCGCCGGCTCCGTGAATCTCCGTGGATCCCCGCGGGTCCACCGCGCGGCCAGACAACCGTGGTCCCGAATTGTGGGACCCACCGATGGGCGTCTGCTCCCAAGACCTTCGACATTGACGATACTCCTTTCATCTAAGCCCATCTTTTCGTGCGGTCCATTCGCGATCGGCGCCACCCACATCTCACGAAACTACCGGATGGAATTTGCAATTCGATATCTTAGGCGAGGGGTACGTGCAGATTGAAGGTGATTCGAGTAATTGAAAGGGTTGGAGTGCATGGCGCACTTCAGAATCTTGATTCTTAATTTATATGATCGTATCAGTTGAGAGAATAAACGGACCAAGTTATTGGAAAGTTTTATTACGAGGCAACGCGCGTTTGCTTCCTACTCGACACTAAATAATTAATTATAATTAATCATTGAATTGAAATATTATAATTGTTCCTTTCTTAAATTTTAATTTGATTTTTTAAATTTCAGTTTAATATTAATTTTAGTTTAGTCTCTTTTTTATTTTAGCAGAATGAGATAACAGATTCGCGAAATTTTGCAGATCTGATACTATTTATTATAATCTTCTATTTTTATCTTTATTTCTTTATCTCTTTTTTTGTTTATCCATATTCTCTTTTCTTCTCTTAAGAAAATTTATCGGTCTAACAAAATTATGACGCTTTCCAAGCACCAGATACTACAGACACGCATCATCGATCCCTAAATTCTGTTTTCAAACGGAGAGGCGGTAATGGAATTTGCATAACTTTCTTAGGAGTGGATTTCCGCGAGTGCACTGCAATTGCGCGCGGCAATTTCTCACGTCCGCGGAAAGACGCTTGAAGAAGCGTTAATCGTGTACGGCCGCAACGACTAATTGGCATGCACCGGCTTTTATTTCGCCATATGAACAACTACCGCGTGTATGCGCACCGTGTCTAAAGTCAAATTACATCTTCCATCGCGCGTCTATCTCGTACACGGAACACCCGGATAACGATGCGCGGAGGTATCTCGCAATACGTCCGTAAGAGTAGACGATCCATATAACTCGTTCACGGCTGAACGCTGTCGTAATCGGATCTGCCTCCACAGATTAACTGACCTAGATCATTCGGCCAGAGTAACGAACTCTATGAGACTTTGTAAGTGTTCGCTAAGAGGTTACTCAAATGTTTCTAGGACTATAACGCTGCTGGGAGGCACGTATGTAGCGAGGAGAAAGCAATGTAATAAAACAATGTAAGGTCGTGTACTTTTTTACGTTATAGACAGCGTGAATATATCAACAGAAATTATTTCGCCGAGATAGAATTAGATAATTAGTTGAAAGGTGGCAGAAAGTAATAGATACGAATGGTGGGCTGAGTTGAACATGACGTGTAACGTGAAGGAAATATGACCTAAGAATTAAATGAACTTTTGCAAGTCCCTGATACCATGTGCAATATCTTAATTATACATTATATCAATACGCACTAATACACACTGAGAAAAAAATATCTGAAAATTTATTTGAGGGGTATATAAAGCTTATTCACACAGAAATTAACTTTACATCCCGCAAGTAAATTTTCAAGTATTTTTCCTCTCAGTGTGTAATGTGTAATTACACACGATATATAAAAATGTAACTCTACACCTTCGCAAGCGTGCAACAGTCGATCGATGGACTCTACGACGAGCGATTCTCGTGCAATTTTTTTCCGACGAGTATCTTCGCGTCTATAGAGAAACGGCGTCATTAATTAATGTATCTCAGGAGTCCGGCACGCAGCCAAGCAGGCAGGCACGCACGCACGCACGCACGCACGCATGCACGTACACGGGAAGACCCCAAATTGTCTTATTCGCTGGTCGACGCGTAATCCGATTTGTTTCCCGAGCGATCTGATTGCGCTTTCTTCAACCTTCCCTCCCGCCTGACCCTCGCCGACGTTGCTCCTTATCTTCCCGGCATCCTCCCCGAGAGACTCCTCTTTGAGACTGCGTGCGACGGACTCTGGGAAGATTCTTGCCGATTCTTTTTGTTTTTACGCCCGCCGCCGCCCCTCGCTTTAACCGCGCCGGGCGCGCCTTTTCTTGTTTCGCGATCGGTGATTTACGTCGCGGACCACGCTACCACGGTAATAGTCCATTAATTGATCCCGGATTCCCCGCCGTGTGCTTTCAGATACGCGGGAGACGGGTTTCGTGAACGCCATCACTGCCGCCGGAGTTACTTTCGCGGTTACCAGGGCCTGCACTATGGGTGACCTCGTGGAATGCTCCTGCGATAAGATGACGAAGGGTAAAAGCTTGCTTCCTCTCCTTCTTTGCGATTTAATCCGCGCGTCTCGATTTCGGCTCTCATCAATTTCGTATCGGAACCTATAGTAATCTGTGGGCTCTTAAGAGCCCTCGCGATACTTGAGAAACACTGCTTTTCAGGAGAGATTATGAGGGAACGATCGAAATTTGTTCGTTCACAAACACCGGCAGAAAGTCACATTGATTTCATTAGAAATAGTATCATAATCGTACGGCACTTTTGCGGCCGCATTTTGCAGAGAATTTTCGTGTCTTGTGTTATTTCCACGATTTTTTCAAAAAACCACGCGAGTCAGAGATTGAATTCGAAATTGAAGCGGCGCGATATCATCAAGTCTCTTGCGATTAAACTCGAGAATGGGGGAAAATGGTTATTCAGGTAATCGTCTGGCAAAATTTGCGCGTACGGCGGAGGCGAAGAAAAGTTTGCCAACGGAGGGAGACTGGGAGTGGGGAGGATGCGGCGATAACGTGAACTTCGGCTTCAAGAAGTCGCGGGACTTTATGGATGCGCCTTATCGGAAGCGAAGCGACATCAAGACGTTAGTGAAGCTTCATAACAACGATGCCGGCAGACTGGTAAGTCGTTTTTATACTTATTCTTTGGATAATTTGCGAATTTCTACTTGAATACTTGCCACTTTTATCCTATTTATATTTCTGTCGTTTTACCTTACTCGACGATAACAAGTACGAAAATTGATCCTGGTGAAATTTTAATTTACTGTTGTTCTTATCATATGTGCAATTCCGTAAATATATCGCGTGCCATTCTCATAGCCGCGCACAATTATATTTAATTGATTTAAAGAGCCGAAAAAATAATTTGATAGCTGTACGTTGCACGTTTCTCTTAACTTTCCGCGACCATACTCAAAAAATATAATCTTATTTTTAGTAGATATCCTCTTGTGTTATGGCCTCAAAAGGATCTTTCCAAAACTAAGAGGAAAATAACAATTTCCGCTGAAAATAGGATTATATTCTTTTGTGTGCGTAATTTCCGCGTTATCGCGACGATAACAATCAGATTCACATCGGGAACGGGGACATCTTTCCATCCTCAATCGGGCTCGATTCCCACGTCCCGTTAGAGCAACCAAGTCAGAGTGTACATTGCCGGCCGACGCGCTATTTGCATTCGCTCCTCAGGCCGTACGGAACTTCATGCGGACCGAGTGCAAGTGCCACGGTCTCTCGGGCTCGTGCACGATGCGTACTTGTTGGCGCAAGATGCCGACGTTCCGGGAGGTCGGCAACCGCCTGAAGGAGTCCTTCGACGGCGCGGCCAAGGTCATTCCCAGCAACGACGGCCACAGCTTCATCACCGAGGGTCCCACGATCAAGCCGCCCGGCAGATTCGACCTCATCTACAGCGAGGACTCGCCGGACTTCTGCAAGGCGAATCGGAAGACCGGCTCGTTGGGCACGACCGGTCGCCAGTGCAACGCGACTAGTCCCGGGGTCGACGGCTGTGAGCTCCTCTGCTGCGGCAGGGGCTACGACACGAAAATCATCAAGGACAAGATCAACTGCGGCTGCAGGTTCCACTGGTGCTGCGAGGTCACGTGTAACACGTGCCTCGTCAAGAAGACCGTCCACAGTTGCCGTTAACACGACCACGTAAGTGGGCGAACTCTTAGTGTATCGATCTGCACGACACGCGATCTGCGTCGAGGATTGGATTCACGAGGTGGATCTCTGCGAGTGTTAGAGGAGAGAGACCTAGGGTGAATAATGCCGATGGAAATGATCGATGTTCTTTCTTGCGCAAGTGATATTATAAGACGGAAAGTCCAAGTGGCTGAAGGGCGAAAAGCTTGAAAGACGCGTCTTCTTTGCCCTCAACGACAAGAAGGGATGACTTGCGATCGATACTTTCGTCTGTCCATTTGATATTAATGATATCGAACGCTATTATTTCTCCCATTTATTGTTACAATCAGGTCGTTTGATATACTTCCACGCATATCGACTCAAGCTAGGCATACATCGAGTAGCGAACAAACGAACGAATGAACGGTGTGATTTATTTGCGCCCACTTTGCGTACAAATTTCCTTTAATAAGCCGCATCATGAAGGAATCGACTCGAATTAAGGCGTTTTGCTCGAATTCGTTAAGGCATTAAGCTTTTAAATCGTACAACGGAAGTTTGCATCCGTTGTTCGTTCGCTCGCTATCTACTCAGCTTAATATGCAAAGCACGGTTGATTGTCGATCGCAATTGAAACTATGTTGAACGTTGGCGGTTAACGCAATTAGAAAAGAAAAACTTGTCCAACGTTGTCGGTGACCAAGCGCCCTTTCTCTTGGCGCGATCGTGATAACGTTCTCTGTTACGTATAATAACGCGTCTGTGTATAATATATCAATCTCTAAGATACAGCTTGATAGTATAGGATATTCGACGACGAGTGTCCGAGTGACATGTGATTTACGATTTTCTCGCGAGTGCACGGGTCTGGAGTAGGTCTAGGTTGCTGAGGAGATTTACGTAAGGTCTCCGACGAACAATCCATCGCGCGCGAGGAGCGAGATCGAGAACAGTCGTCAGTAGTGCATGCGCGAGCCAAGTCAGACGCGCGACGCGACCGTACGCGACTCGTCTCGTGTTTCACGAGAGACAGCTCGTGTGTCTTTGACTGTTTCTGCACGATCCGGGGAAATAGTCCTCACATTTTACGAAAGCAAATTTCTTGATTACGCGCAATGTGCGATGCACCTTTGTGCGTCCCGTAATAAAAATTACGGCGCGATGTTTGCTCGCAAGTCTTACGGCTGTCACGGCAGTCCGCGGATTTGTGGTCCGAGCTTTTTACTGTTACGATATGATCGGGCCGGTTCTAGATTCTCTTCGTCTCGAAGCCTCCCCGAGTTAACAACGGATAAAAAGAGTAACGTAACGACGATGTGACTTGAGTATGTTTCGTTCCAACTGGCTGTAGCACAAGCCAATAACATTAGCCAACGCAACCACTCTCGACAGTCGGGAAAATAGCGTTAAGGAATCTTGTCCGCGAAAATTGTAGTAAGAGAGAAGAATCTATTTTTTTTTATATTTATTTCTCTAAGAGAGGTTGCAATCAACTTCGGGTATGCTCGAACGAGTCGTTCCGGGGCGGAATCTGGGACGAGGTCACTCTTCTGCTACGTAGAACCGATCCCGGGTATGTAGGATAGTTGTTGTTATCAGGATCGCCGGCGCCGCGCGAGGCGATCGACTTTATTAATCCGGGCGTCGAAGCTTTCCACGTATCTCCAGTGCTCGTAATAACTTTAAGCCGTACGTATAGATCGTATGATGATTTTACGCAAAGCACTCTTGTTTGAGGCGTCGCCTAACGTGCCGGCATAAGTTCGCATAATAACGTCCGGCGAATTGCTTCTTCGCTTTTAAAACGCCGCGAGGTCGGACTGCCGAAGCGAAGTCCCGATTAATTGCCATTTGCGGTCAGATTATAATTTATAACGATATCAGTGTGGAAAAGCTTAACGTGATGTCACACACGTAGAATTGAGTCTCGGTGTTGGACTTTAAGTCGACTTTAAGATTATCTTCGACTAAAACAATCGACAAATCAGTCATCAGAATTAATCACGAATAATTCGATTGATTGATGAAGTTAATTAGCAATCAATAATCAATCATATTATAGTCAATTATTGACTAAAAATTGATTTCACCAGTCGATGAAATTACACTTGTGATTTCATATATGACGATTGATTAATTTCGATTAGTGACTTGCCGATTATTCTGGTCGAAGAAAATTTTCATCGATCAACCCTCGACACTTTTCTTCACTAGCAACGCGTTTCCGTCGACCAGACATCCCAAATCCTTCCAGGCGTCTCGGGACTACGCTTTGCGCGCGCGTATCCGATTATGTTGCTTTTGCCCTCGCGTGACATAAGCTTTGTGCCATACTTTGTGATTCGATCGATCGACGCTTTGGTCACGCGTGCGCTGCCCGCCAAAGGAGAAGCGCACGCGAGGTTCCTTCGTTTCAATCGCTCCTTATCGGTCCTCAAGTCTTACCGCGTTTCACAGGACTCTCTCTCTCTCTCTCTCTCTCTCTCTCTCCTTCTCCCTCCCTTCATCTCTCTCTCTCTCTCTCTCTCTCTCTCTCTCTCTCTCTCTCTCTCTCTCTCTCTCTCTCTTTT